AAAATTTTATTGCAGATTCGGGGTCCCCTCGCCGAGCACAGAACGACCCCGCCCTCAAAAAAAAATATAAAACAAATTCTGGGCTGTTTTTTGGCCCGCCCGGTTTGCCCGGGCGACCTGCCCGGGCCCCGCCCGGCCGGGCCCGGGAGACATGGAGAGGGGTTTGTTTTTTTGAAGTTTGAAGTTTGTACATTCTCGTTAGCTTGGATAGATGCGCTGTGAAAGTAGTGTAGGAATTTTGGCTTTGTCCTCTTTTGGTTGTCGTGGCTTTGACTGGACGTTTGACGTACCGCTGGGTCTTGGATTTGGTTTTTTGTGTTTGTCGTTTGATGGCATGTGACTGAGGTACCAGTCCCAGGGGTCTGGGACGAGGTACCCGACCTGATTTTGGGATTTTCTGTGCTGTTTGGAAACGAGGCACTGCGCCGAGACTACAAACGAACGTATTAATAACAGAGTACCGTGATAGTCGACCTCTTTTCAGGACTAACGATACTACGTGTTAGTTGCTTTCCGGAGAGTGATTAGCACGAGTAACGGGAGTGGGTATGACGGATGAAGGGAAAGTTCGTGGAAGTTGTGGCGGCAAACCCCCTGAGGAGGCAACGGCAGTTGCCGAAACGCAGTGTCGGGGACGCTGATTCTGAATGGTGTACTTCGCTCATTTTAAACCATTGTTTGAGCTTGACGATTATGTGTACTTGACGCGACGAATGTTGCATACGGCTTGCTGAGTAATACTCTCTTGCTTTCTTTACCTAAACTACTTACTCCGCACGTGAACAGTCTTGGAAAGAAATTGCTCAGACGGGTGAGCGTGTTTTATTATCCTATCGGACATTTTGTATATGCTAACGCGAGGAAGAAGATCAGTGACAATGAGTGACCATAGAGAGTACGACAGAAGGGACCGGCGATCGAGTAGCCAAGACCGAGGGAGTTACCGTGGTGTGGAACGTGGACAGGATGCGGTTGGAGAGAGGTCCTACCGACGCTCGCCGCCAAGATGTTTCGCATGCAATGAACGTGGGCACTACGCAAATCAGTGTAAGAACCGGTGGAGGGCGAGAGAAGACCGGCCATCAACCTCATACGAGACAAGGCGGGGAAGATCGATATCACCAAGGGGCGATACAAGGGAATCGACGGTTAAGGAGGTTGATAAGCTACAACTTCAGATCAAAGAACTTAATAAGAGCCTCGCGTCAGTCTCGGAGTTTGTCCAGAGCGAGAGGGCGAAGAAGGAGGCGGAAGAACAAGCAAGACGAGAAGCCGAGGCGGAGGAACAACGCAAGGTGGCTGAGAAGAAAGCTAAGGAGAAGAAGGAGCGGAGGAGGCTTGAGAAATTGCAGAGGGAACAAGAAAGAGATGCAGAACTAGAGAAGAAGATGGAGATGCAGCTCGCTATGAAGACGGGTGATTTCTTCGGACCAGTCCTGAACGTCGTGAGGAAGGCAAAGGCCAAGAAGCAAGTGGTTACCATATCCGACCATGATTCGGAGTCTGAACATGGAAGTCATGGGAGCGACACTGAAGGCATCCGCACACAAACCCGGAGATTGACGATTAACGAGAAGAGAAAAAGAGGACCTGAACCTGCGTTCGAAGATAGTCCACCGATGCTGACGCCGGCTAAACGCACACCACGTGGAGCAAAGGAGAAAGGAGCAGCTGCTGCCGGGCGAGTCGCACGGTCCAAAGCGAAACTGAAGACGAAGTTGTCCCCGTACTTGGCCAGGATGAAGAAGACCCCGGGGCAACCGGGCACAGTGGCTAAATTGCGATACCGCAACCAAGCCATGGAAGAGCTACGCAATTTGGATGCACAGGAGCTGCAAGCGATATGCAAGGAGGAAGGTATTGCATACAATGGAAAAGTAGATGCCATTTTTGACATCGCAAGTCACCGCACTAGGAAGATTTGAACCAATAGACCTGTCGGGCGCGGGTGAAGCAGAGGATGAAGCCTCAGCTACACTGGATGAAGGAGGACAAGAGGAAGCAGCTTGATGTGGTTTCGGAACTAACGAGATATGGCGCTTAATAAACGAGTTGACTCGAATACAAAGTAAGAATTGTAAAGTGGTTAAAGAGGTTGAGGAGTTGTTACGCCTTTGTGTTGTAATCCTATCTTTCCGAGGAGAGATCAGATGGACGGAGAAGTGGTTGAGCTCGTGGAAGAGGTTGATCGGCAATTTCGGGGTTAACTTCGCAAGTGTTAGGAACTGTATATATGTGGCAGTATCCCCGTTTTGCAAGCACCAATATGTGGGCAAGACCACTCGGGATGTTGACGTAAGATGGAGGGAACACCTATCTGCTTGCCAAAGCAAGAAGCATACACACGTCCACTGCTGGCTTGGCAGCTTTGGTCATGGCAAGTATGTCTTAATTCCCGTTGACCAGTTGGAAGGCAGCGAGTTGGCTAAATTGGAGAGTATTTACATCCGGAAGTGGTCGTCGTTCCTGAATACTAGTGGATGCAGGAAGCACGACCGAGGGCTGAAGAAACCACGAAGAGGTAAAAATAAGAGAGGGAGGAATGAAGGAGAGCAATGCAACGAGCGATCGATCGAACCTATCAAGGTGAGGGAGTTTGAGAGCCCCGACTGGAGGTTGGAGTTGGACCAGCTTCTTTTGGAAAAGGAGAAACAAGGTGTGAGAAAATTTGTGATTGAGTCAAGCGGGGGAAACGCTTGGATGACGAGATGGAAGAAGATTAGGAAGCGTTTTGGGGAGACGGTAATTCGGAGAGAAGGTAAGGAGGAACTACTGAAAACCTGTAGAAATGTGTTTGAGTCGGGTGGAAGGATCGATGTAGAATACCTCCGTGTATGGAAGTCTGGTTGTAGCTTCCTCAAACAGCTGCTATTGGAAATATTGAGGAACCCCCGTAGGCTGGCGATGATCTATAGGTGGGGTCTCAAATCCATAATGAGGTTATATGGGGCCATTAAGGAATTTCGGAAGAAGTCGACTCGGAAGTACCTGAGAAGGCTGATATCTCGTGTGATCCGGGAGAGGTTTGACTTGAGTATGTCCGCTGACTTGATAGTCCGTGCTAGGTTCGATGAGAGAATCTGTTTGAATGAGCTTCGCAAGGTGGTGAATGATGGGATCATGGTCTGTGAGTTGTCGGGATGTTTTCGAAAGCATGCAAGGAAGAAGATTCGCATCGTTTGGACAAAAAACCAATCGATAGGCGATATTCTGCACAATCAACGATCTTTCGCTGCGTGTCGAGTTTTGACCTGCGCATGCGCAGGGACGTCCTACCCGAAAGAAGGAGGACATGTATGCTTTCGTCTGAGAGAAGGGGAACCGCATCACCAAATCCTCTCTAACGCCAATGATATTCCTCGGGAGCCAACGAGGGATCGAGTTGACCGGTTGCTGAGGGAAGTAGTTGAGGGTTTTTCAAGTTGGAAGAATCTGACGGGACGGGCACCGGTATTTTCGAAGGAAAAGGTTGCGAGATGTGTGGACGAATGGGCAGTGGGGGGAAGTAAGCTAAAGTTAGCAGAGGTAATGAAGGTGAAGGAGGAGTTGGAAGGTTTTGTGCTTACCCCTTTGGATCGGAACCCGGGTGACACCCTGGTTATGTGCCCGACTGTGTACCATGCTGCGATGATGAGTACATTTGTTACTAATCTAGGGTACAGGATTGTTCAGAAGTCAACTGAGGAGACTATCAACGAGGTGAAACAAGAGATGGTCACTTTGGGTTTGAAGAAGACTGTTCAGTGGGATGGGAAAGGAAAGTTCGGAGGGTGTCTTATGTTTTGCCTAAACACAAAGACACGAGTCGCTTTCGGCCAATCTGCCCTACTTTCCATGAACCAATGGTTCGTACGGGCAGGTTGGTTGTGAAGGCACTCAATCATATGCTGTTCCACCTGCCGATTGACAGACATTTTAATCTCCAGGCTGTATCACACTTGGCAGGGCGTCTGCAACGGGTTAATCGCATGATCGAGAAGAGGGGTTGTGCGACTGAGGTGGAGTCGGCTTCCTTTGATATAAAGGAAATGTTCAGCCGACTTCCCCACGAGGATATTAGGGATGCGGTGCACTGGATTGTCAAGTATTACCAGGAGAAGGGCCTGGAATTTGTGAGGGTTAACACGAGGGGTAGAGGAGCATCATTTGGAAAGACGACGGGGGCGGACCATTGGAGACGCCTAGAGTTGGGGGATGTGGTGAAGCTTGTGGATCTTGAACTCGGCCACACGTACACAAATGCAACGGGCGTGCTACTGAGACAAGTCGTCGATATCCCAATGGGGAAGAGCACAAGCCCTCCTTTGGCATGTATCTTGTGTGCTATGGCTGAGTCGAAGTTTATCAACAGTCTCGGGAGGTACAGGAGGCAGGTGTTTGGCATCCGGCTGATCGATGACGTTATCTTAGTGACAACCTCATTACCAGCTCACATCAGAGAGGAGATCTTGTGTCGGTTTGATGTCTGTTATCCACGGAATCTGATACTGAAGAGAACAGACAGCGGGTCTGGGGTGCTGCAGTTCCTCGGTTGCGAGATTCGGACGAATCAGACTTTTCCTTACTTGGGATGTGTGCAATTGGTCAAGAATGAGGACACTATCTGGGAAGAGGAGAAGTTGGTTTTTCAAAACGGGCAGTCTTTCTCCTCATGGGGGAGCAAGCAGCTCAAGAACGCGATTATCTACAGACACCTCCATAGAATTGATCGGAACACAACAATTTGAAGCGAGATACCATTGAGGGTTCTGGCGGTCAAAAGGGAGTTGCGTTTGAAGGGATACCCCCAAAGGAACTTCGAGAGAGTGTTGAAACGATTTGCCATGAGGAAGGATGACTGGTGGAAGATGGCAGTTGATTTGATATGTGGATAAGAAGACGAGTAGGTGATCTGCGTATAGGGAAGATCTATTTGCCCGGGAGACGTGGAGAGGGGTTTGTTTTTTTGAAGTTTGAAGGTTGTACATTCTCGTTAGCTTGGATAGATGCGCTGTGAAAGTAGTGTAGGAATTTTGGCTTTGTCCTCTTTTGGTTGTCCTGGCTTTGACTGGACGTTTGACGTACCACTGGGTCTTGGATTTGGTTTTCTGTGTTTGTCGTTTGATGGCATGTGACTGAGGTACCAGTCCCAGGGGTCTGGGACGAGGTACCCGACCTGATTTTGGGATTTTCTGTGCTGTTTGGAAACGAGGCACTGCGCCGAGACTACAAACGAACGTATTAATAACAGAGTACCGTGATAGTCGACCTCTTTTCAGGACTAACGATACTACGTGTTAGTTGCTTTYCGGAGAGTGATTAGCACGAGTAACGGGAGTGGGTATGACGGATGAAGGGAAAGTTCGTGGAAGTTGCGGCGGCAAACCCCCTGAGGAGGCAACGGCAGTTGCCGAACGCAGCGTCGGGGACGCTGATTCTGAATGGTGTACTTTGCTCATTTTAAACCTTTGTTTGAGCTTGACGATTATGTGTACTTGACGCGACGAATGTTGCGTACGGCTTGCTGAGTAATACTCTCTTGCTTTCTTTACCTAAACTACAACAACCCGCCCGGCCGGGCCCGTACTCAGGTTTTAATTTTTTTTTATTTTATTTATTTTGGTTTTCTGCGCTCTGAAACGGTATTCACCTGTTCGCAGTAGCGGATGCAGATCCCAGGGCTCGATGCCTAGTCCTCACCTTACCCGTGTACGGTATCTGTGTTGACCCCAAGAGTTGAACCCGTGACCTGTGTATCCGCAGCAGTTAGTAGGCTGTCGTAGGTCCGTAGGTGGTACGGGTTCGATCTGTAGACCTGTTGGACTTGTTGTTTGTAGGTCTTAGCAGGTCCTAGAAGTCGTACCTGTAGGACTTCTGAAAGGTCAAGGTCGTAGCTGTAGGACTTCTGAAAGGTCAAGGTCGTAGTTGCTACAGTCCTGAAGGGTCAAGGTGCAATCAGACTCGCATACTTCGTCACTTCACATACATACAAACAGATGGTGAATCACACTGGCGCCTAGCGCCCAACTCAAAGCTCGAAGATATGGAAACCAAGACACAGTTCAAATGCAAGCTCGCTTCAACAGGCTATGGTGCATCAGCACCCACACATCGCAACTCTTGTCACTGCGTCCAACACCACTGTTCACTTCACACTTCAACTCCGGATCATCCTGGATACCTCCACGCACACACTCTGCACATACACCAATACACACCTATCACTAACCTACGGCAGCTATGGCCGCCAGCTAACACTAATCTACAAGCAGCTATGGCTGCGCTAACTCCCTCTAGCCCACTTCGACTTCAGGCTCCACTGCAGACCACCTCGCACAAGTCACCGTGGCAGCGCTTCTGCATGGCTTCCGCAGGAATGAATGAATAGCTGTGCGCTGCCTCTTGATTTATACTTCTGTAACTCGTTGGTCTGCCCCCTTTCCCTCGGCCCCTGGTACACACAGTCCCCCATGGTACTTGCTGGACTGGACTGGGACTGACTGGACCGCACTGTTGACTGCCTGGGGACCCACTGCTAACCTACCGCCATCGTACTGCGAACGTACTGCAGTTGGTCCACCACTTGCCCACTTGCCCACTTGCCTTAGTCTAAAACGTGAGCAAGCTACGAAAGGCCACTTCCGGACCTTCCGGAAGTCTGTGGACTTTCGGGACTGTAGCAGCTACGACCTTGACCTCTCAGGACTGTAGCAGCTACGACTTTGACCCTTCAGGACATCTACAGCTACGACTTCTGGAACTCTCTAAGACCTCTACTCGACAGGTCTACAGATCGAATCCCTATGTTCACACAGTCCTACGACAGAAAAACAACAACTCACGAAACACAGGTCACGGGTTCAAACACTCAAGGGTCAACTCAATATTGTACATCGGTGAGGTAAAGTCTGGGGATCAAACCCCGGGATCCGCACATGCCTCTTGCAAAGGTGAAAATCGTTTCAAAGGTCGTAGCTGCTACAGTGTCGAAGGGCCAAGTCCACAGACTTCCGGAAGGTCCGGAAGTGGCCCTTCACACGTTGTTCACAGTAGTCCAGAGGCAAGTGGGCAAGTGGTGGAGTCCACCTGTGCTGAGTCAGCGGTACCCAGTCCCAGTCAGTCCTAGTCCAGTCAAGCACGTACCGTATGGGACTGTGTGCACCATGGGCATGGGAAAGGGGCAGACCAACGAGTTATTGAAGTATAAATCAAGAGGCAGCGCCCAACCATTCATTCATTCCTGCGTAAGCCATGTGGAAGCGCTGCCACTGCGACTTGTGCGAGGTGGTCTGCAGTATGCCCGAAGACGAAGTGGGCCAGAAGGAGAGCTTAGCCATAGCGGTAGAGGTAGTAGCGGCCATAGTCGCCATAGCTGGAAGAAGGGTGTAGTGTGTGTGTGCGTGTGTGTACAGTGTGTCACGTTGTCGGTGTGAATACCCTTACAAGGGTATCCGCCCTGGTTTCTGCAAGCGACAGAAAATAGGCATGGTTTAAAGTTTAAGTATTCCGCGCGAGGCGCAGCTGTGTTTGTGGTTTACGTTGGCTGGATGGTTGACTAGAATAGAGAGTGTGTGGGCGCGCAGATTGAAGGCGCGCGTGATCTCCTTCCTTTTTTATGATTGTGAAGACCGGCGTTGGTCGCCGGCCAGATTTTTTATTAAAACTAGGGTTTCAAAGATTGTCTAGGGATTAGTGCGCTTGCCTGTGACCTGTGCGTATGTGCGGAGGACGGCGTCAACAACGATGTGACTTTTGAAGACGTCTCGGTAGGTCTACGTGTTGTGCGGTGTCTGCATATCTTTGTGTTCGTCAATACTAGGCCGAGCCTGGGTCTGACATTATTTGGTTACAATGTGAGGCTTTTATTAGAGAAATTCAGGGATCGAGATCAAGCGACAACAGTGCGGGGATATCAAAATAGCGCGAATGGACCGAGGGTTTGAGGGTCCAACAGGGCTATTTCCCTTGGTTTGCCGTCGGCAGCATTGGAACGGGACGAGTGGGTCTTTTTCCTCGTTCATCATATTCCGACGATTAAAAAGTTTCTAGATATCTGTAACAATATTACTCTCTATGTCCCGGCCTCCTTTTTGATTCAGGCGTAGCGCCAGACTTATGGGATGTCGCGGCAGTCGAGGACCTTGAGTACGTGCCTCTCTTGGCAGGCCCGTTCGGCTCCCACACGTCTGAGGCCGTGGTTTCTTTTGCTTCCATTTGGAGAGTGTCGGAAGCCTAGGGTGAAAAGGAACTGGAGAACTTTCCAAGCGGGCCAGTGGGGCTCTAGCACGGAGGTAATTGGGGATGCCGCGGGCGCACGGTCCGCCAACCGCCGTTTTGCCATAAGAAGTTTTGTGTGTGAGCATGCCCCTTAGGGCCCGGAAGGATGGTGGGCCTTGCCAAGGGGCAGGGGGACGCTTACACCCGGAAGAGGGGCAGCAGGGCCGCGGGGACTTGCCATAAGGAACCCCTCGCCGCTTCAGCCTTCAAGGATCTTATTTTGAATATTACTACTATTGCCACCAAGATTTGCGTCGGGGTGGGGCTGGCTCCGCTCAGGAGGGCATGCAGACGGGCTATTGGAGACAGGCTGGGTGAGCCATAGCCCGGGCGCAATCCTTCGGAGTGGTACAAGGGAGATTAATACAGCCTCCGCGCGAGTGGCGCCAACGCAGGGCTAGGCCAGAGGAAACTCTGAGGAGGCTGCAGTTGTCCCGGGTGCGGGCCACTTACCGAACCTGCACATAGGGACGGGAGACTTTCAAATCGCCTACTAGTTAGTTTTTCCCAGAAGTTTCCCTCTAAGACAACAAGAGTTGTGGGCTGGTACAGTGCGCTGCTGACAGTGTTGTGGAACCAGAAAGGGCAAAGTAACGCTGACCAAGAAGAAGGCACCTGGATGTGATCCGTGTCGGGTGCGGCCACAGGCTAGAGATGACAGGGAGGATGAAGATGAGTGGGAAGAACGTGGATCGACGTAGGCATCGGAGAGACAGAAGGGATAGCTGTCGGAACGGGGCAAAGAAGAAACGGGGGGAAGGCATGAAACTAGGAAAAACGGAGTGAACCTGGCATAAATTTGAGTTAGGTGCATTCGGGGAATAAGGCGCCGAAAGAGACAGAAACGATGAGCTCGAACATGGAACAGAGGTGTTCTCGGCCGTTTCCTAAGAGCTCAGATATGAAGCCAGTCGGAGGCTTAGTAGATAAGGAGGTAGAAGAAAGAGTTAGTGTGCCGAGATATGGCGGATTAAGGAAAGGAGAAGAAGAAGTGAACATATTTTGTCCATTTCTTAACGGATTTAGATGAGGGGAGATTCGTTGTACGAGTTTTGGGGACGGGCAACCTCAAACTTGGGGTCAGTTTTAATATTAGGTTAGTGGAGATAGGTGGTGCGTCAGGGCTATGGCAAAACGAGAGGGATGACGAAGGCAAAAAGTGTACGGCATCTTGAATTCTAAACGGATTTCGGCAAACTAAAAGCCGAATCCGAGGTTTTGAGGTGTGGCGAAGGGAATGGTGAGGTTAGTTCGGTGAGTAAAATAGTAAGCTAGGAGCTCGTGAGGAATAGTCGTGCGCGGGGCTATGGCGGAGAGTGAAGGAGTGGGAGAGAGAGGTTAGTATATTTCGGTCATGTCTTGACCGGTTTCATCAAAGTGGAGTTCGGAGCGGGGGTTTTCGGGGCTGGCGACCCCGAATATGAACTCAGATTGGTACGAAAGTTAGTAAGAAGGTAGTGTGCGGGAGGGTACGATTGGGAGATCAATGTATACTTCCGCGTTCTAGCGGAAGATTCATTCA